AAAAAAAAAAAGTTTTGGGGTAATTCCCATTTGGGCTGGGAGCGGGTTTGGTGGGGGGGGGGGGGGAGAAGACTTGGGGTTGTATTCCTGCAGGCTAAGGGATCAGAGTGTGTCCGTACATATGAACAGGTGACGTGTGCTGTGTACAGGTGAAGAGAGGAGGGTTGTTGAACATTTCGGGACGGTGATAAAGGAGGAGGATGAGGAGGGCTCACTTACTATACTTGATATTTACAAGAAGGGAGCGTATAAAAATGTACAAGGAGACTCCTTTTCTTTTCTCAAAAACCCAGAACGTAGAGCTGGCTGCTAATTCGACATGACATCTGAAACAGCACATTGATCTTTTTTTTTCTTTGTTTTTTTAAAATACCATTGAAAATATGCTTCTTCTGTAAAATCACCTGGCTTTGCCATATTGGCTAGAATAAAGACAGATAAATAATAAGTATACAAAACAAAAAATAGTCTCATTTTCTTTACTTTTGCGACTCTTTTTTTTTTTTTTTCTTAAATAAAGGCTGTTTTGCATTTTTAATGTGGGGACATCAGAAATCTTACTGTGGAATTTTACACATCAAACTGGATAGATGGGACCGAGTCGACAAAAAATGGGTTTCTTACAACTTGTTCTCACAGAAGACAGTAGAAATGAGGGAGAGCTATCATCTCTCCGAGAATGACCCAGATTTGTGGAGCTTTGTTGTTTGAGAAGCAGTTCTAGCGCCCCATTGTTTCTCTGATCTGCATTTGTTTGTGTTTTCATACAATCTTCCACTAGGGGGCAACAATACTTTATTTTTCAAGCACGAGAAGTCCCTTTTTGTTGTTTATAGCCATCTCATGTGGGATTTCAGCGAGGATGTTTTACAGAATGCGTGTGTGTGCGTGTGTGTGTGTGTGTGTGTGTGGGAGTGAGCGAATGAGTGTGTGAATGTGTGTTTTCAATAGCATATTGTTGGTTTGTCCCATCTTTGGGGCTTCTCACTCGAGCGTTGCATCCTGGGTAGCTGGACGTCCACTTCCTCCTCGCTGTCATCTGATTCATCGCTGGTGACTTCTTCGTCCTCTTCATCCTCATCATCTTCCTCCTCCTCTTCGTCCTCTTCCTCCTCCTCGCTGGCCTCTTCCTCCCCTGCAGTGTGGTTCTGTGGTGACAAAAATACAACCCTTTTTTTTTCTTAATGTCCCAGATTAAAGAAGACTAAACTTCCTTGTTTAGGTGAGAGTCATATAAATTATTATATCAGAACAATGAGAGAGATAATATATATATATGTTTACATAAATTAAATTAGTATTTGGTCAAATACTTTTTTAATTGTAAGAATTGGGTCAAATGTTTTGGGTTTCCTTACACAATCTTCTCAGAATAGTTTGCTAGATTTGTGACTCATTCCTTGTTTAGGGCTTTGAAAACATGGACCTTGTTGTTTTTAACCACATACTGTTCCGCCCTCATGATGATGGCATCTATTGTGGTGAACACCCCCACACCATGATGCTGCCACCTTCGTACCTCACCATTGGAATGGTGCTCTCAGGCGTTCACCTGGTCTTTTTTTTTAATTCAAATGGCCAAAAAACACAATTTTAGTTTCATTGGACCATAGTGGATGTCAAAATTAACATCCTGGTTCTTTAGTGCCTTTCTAATTAACTGACAATTTCCCCCCTGATATTTTTTGATGTCATTTTATCTTTGCAAGATTTAACTCAACAAAGCAGTGTACTTGTTCTGAATAAATCAATCAGAAGACATATTTATAATCTAAATATTAGCTTCAGACTTTAAAAACAGAAAACTTTTCTGAAAAATATCGTGCTTATAATTCTTGCATTTTTCAAACAGACAATTCTGGCAGTCCTAACTGGCCTAAAATTTTAAAAATTTAGTCTAAATTAAAGTTCACGTGTCGCTTGATACAGTGTGTGTAAATATCTGGGTTTGGGTTGTATTTGTCACACACTTCAGGGAAGATGTACTTCACAGATCAAAGCGGGTAGGGCAGCAATTAAAAAGAAGTCCTGAAGTGAGGGGTTAGTAGTTGAAGTCCTCTGTTTGTCAGACACATGAAACGTGACTGAGTCTTACATTTTTGTGGTGTAATGACTTTCTTTTGTATCCCAAAACAAACAGAAGGGGTGCTTTCTTGTTAGCCAAAAGAAGGTCTGCCAAACTGTTGTGGCATGCTTGCATGCTTCACAACTGCTTGCCAAAGATGAGCCAGGCAGCTGGGTTTTGATCAAAAGACTTGTTCCCAAAATTGTTTACCAAGTTTTCAGAGACATCGCAAAGCTTCAGGTATGAGCATTCATAATCATACAGAGGAATTGTACTTTTTAGCCCAGATACCCTGAAGAAATCTTTGATGCTCCTTCTCTTTTTATTGCATTGTTACCAAATACCAAATACGGACAAAATTTAAGAAACACAAATGCAGAAAGATGCAATTAATAGACAACAGCATTTTATCCAGATGAATGTCGGGTATTGGCTCAGGCTACTACAGCAGAGACTGAACTTCAGCAGCTCCTGGACATTTTGGTCCTTTCACTGTTGAAAAAGAGCCATCTGCCATAGTACATACAAGTTGGTATAAGTTTTGTCTGATTGGTGAAGGAGAGGCTTTATCTGGATCCCACTTCAGCAGAAACCAGGAAGGCTGAAAAGCTGCTTTGTTTTATCCTAATTTTCTTCCTCAGTCTATGATGGAACATGCAGGATTTGAACATTTTGGAAGTTTTCAAAGTCTAAGAGTTAAGGTAAGGGGCTACATGTCCTAGGAAGCGTGCATTGATACTGACATCCATAGTTAATAATAATAATTACTGTGCTTACTATATCGCTAATGTGCAATAGACAGTCTAAAAAGTCAACTCTGCAGTCATTACGTTTTTGTTATAAAATCTCAGAAAACATGCTGCATTAAGAAAATTGACAACTTACTGCTGGAAGGATTCAGATAAATATTTTGAGCACTGCAAATCAAAATGGTCCAAACTTAAATCAGCAGGTAAAAATGTTATAAAATCTGGAGAATCTCTGACTGGTGCATCTTGGCTCAGCAACACAGACCAAAGGACATATGCTGAAGTTAGATTTCACTTACAGCTAAAACACTGGAGGAAGCCTCATTTATCTTGCAGACATTCTGAACATCAACACGCTCTTCACTCCTACCTCCATGGGGTTGACTGTAATCGTCAGAGCCGAGTCGTCCCAGTTTGTGTCTGCCTCCTTCGCCGTTTCCCCCTGCTTCACCTCCTGCTGGTGGGTCACGTGGATGCGGTATATGCCCAGCACCACCACCACCACCAGGGCGGCGATGCACATGACGATCACCACCGTGGCGGCGCTCGGAACACCTGAGGACAGGAGGAGAGGAAGCAGATGAGGTTGATGGGATGCAGAAGCAGCTTCTCTGTTGTAGCTGGACATCATTGAGTCTGGATTTATTTTGCTGTTAGTTAAGAAGAACATTAGGTTAGTTGGAGATTTTTATGATTAATTATAAACACAGAGAGAATCAAGGTAAGTCTCAAGTTCTCTCCCCCTGCCAACCCTCCAAGTCTTAAATCAAATCCCAAGTCAACATATGAAGGTTCTGAACTCAGTCCAAAGTCGAAAGCATGTTTTGGGTCAACTCCAAGTCATAAACTGAACCTTTCTAGGCTCCATGATTAGAAGTTGTTAAGAAAACATTACCCATACATTAGTCACTTTGTGACCTTTGACTCATGAAGTGACCTTTCACTTTCTCTACAACTTCTGATGTTGCAGAGAGACAACACCAGCTGTTGTTGCCTCTCTACGGTGGTTGGCAGTCTACATGTTTAGCAAACTAAGATTCATTCATTCATCATATAGAATAATATTTTTCTGTCTAGTGTTATATATTGGGTTATGAAAAATTATCATAAACTGCCTGGCAATTAATAAAGCTATCCTTAATGGATTCTAAAAAAATGTGCTCCACTTTATTAGTGACATATTAATTAAAGAACCTTTCCACCAGTGTAATTGTCTCTGTTTCATTGAAGGGTGCAGAAGAAAAGCAGGTACAACAGCAGCATGCAGGATGAGGAAACACTAACAAATGGTCAGAACCGCATAGTGGTATTATTGAAACAGTTCAAGCTCAAAATAAATCATAAATCACATGTGTGAAAGTTCAAGTCAAGCCCAAAGAGTTGAATTCTTTTATCTAGTCAAGTCTTAAGTGATTAAATTTGTGACTTGAGTACACACCTCTTCTCTTAAGATATTTTGTTTCAGGTTATGCAGCCATTACTCTGTGACCGTTAATCGTCTCCCTAAATCAAATTAGATCGTTATATGTCAGAATGGGCTTCTTTAATAATTCAGATTTTTCTTCTCTACTTTTTTTTTTTTTTCCGGTAAATGTTAGGGTCTTCCTGAAAAGAATCTGTCAAAACTTATCTGATTTTTTGCTTTATAATTGCATTTGTCTGTGAACTCTTCATAAATTCCCTCAGGTGAGTTAAAACATTTATTGCTCTTGTCAGAATTGGGTTGGTGTGTGAATCTTCAATAATCTGTATTCTCTCCTAATTATCCACGTTCAAACTGTAAGCAGCACAAGAAGGTATTTCTCTCTTCTTTTTAAATCCATGCCTGAACTGAAGAGTGATGGTAAATGAATCATAAGAAAACCTTAATAGAGCCCCGAATTTCCTACCAGAGCTCGAACTGCCTCCTAATCCTGACCTTTACTGCTTTAGTTGATTCTCACGATAAACATTATGAGATGAACGCTGGTGAAAAAGCTCAGAGAGATGGAAAGCATAATGTAAATCATCCATATAGCAGCTGAAAATATCTTTCAATTGTGACTTTTTAGATATGTTTAGATTGTTCAGCTTGAAAGTCTGCCTTGAAATTTTATTTTTGAGAACTATAATTCACCATTATTGATATTATCAATATCAGTTGCCCAAGCAAACTGTGGTTAAAAAAAATATAAAATAAAAAAAATCTTACATTACATTTTTTCCCTTTGCATCACATCATTACAAACTACAAACACACAATGTATTATACTGGGATTTCATGTAAAAGAAAAGAAATCACTTAAATGTGACAAAGTAAAAAGATGTATAACTGAAGTTCTCATGACTCAAATTGGTTTAATTTGCTCTCATATATTATTTTGCACTTTGTAATTGTTTATTTTATTTTTTGCTTTTTCTATTGTTAATTTTTAATATATCAGCAATTTATTAAGGTCTAAATTCTGCCATAGAGTTGAACAAAACAACTGAAGGAAACACAAAAGAAAACAAAAAGCACCTAAAAGTCAGAAGTTTGACGATATGTCGAGCTTAAACTAAAAATATTGTTATTGGCATTGGCAATACCGTCCTTGTATTTAATTGGTATTATATCAATACCAAAATATGCAGTATTGCATACCTCTACTAATAGCCCTTTTAGACAAACTTGATGAATCAGATTTTAAGGTTGAAGTCTAGAATTAAACATTCTGAATGAAGTGTGTACAGTTCTCATGGTGAGCATGCCAGTACAACTCACCATGTTTGATATTAATGAGGTGACATGATAAACAGCTGAGTGCAAAATATTTTATTTTGAAAATAGACCAGATACTCTTCAGACTGTGTATTTTTGCATCCTGAAAAAAAAAAAAAACTTTAGTTAAATCAGATCAGGCTGTACCCAAATCTAAACACTGCAAATAGATCTATTGTCTAGAAGAGTTGCTTTTTGCCTCATATTTAATTTAAACAATCATATTTAATCTACATTAGACTTATCTCTACTTATGGAAAGCCTGTGACAGAGGGCTACAAAGGCACATCATCATGTTGCAGCACATGCTGAGGCATGGCTCTGGTACTGAAGTTGTTTATTTGGTTCACTCTGATCTCCAGCCGCCTGGAAGATGCGTGACTCCTCTGTGCCGGCCCTCTCTCCAGCAGTCCTTCCTGGTGAGTGGAAGCGTGCGGTTAATGAGACTACGGCTCACAGAGCACTCTTCAACTGATCATTTGATTCAGTCTAGTTTGTAGATTTTCACACCAAATTCAGGGCCTTTGATCTTCTGAGTAGTGCTTCATGCAGAAACTCGAAAGTCTCCATTCGCACAAGAGCATCACCACCTCCTCCAAGTACTCAACATACGGCGAGTCCACAGCAGCAGGCACATGTGCCTAAAGAGTTGGGGATCTCTCTTTGTTGAGCATTTATACGCTGATTGCTCAGCCGCTCTCCACCCTCTTTGTTCTTCTGACCTCCTTCCAAGGACACACACACACACACACGCACACACACACACACACACACACGCACACACTCCAGCTATCTGCTCCGTTAACAGCCTCAGTCACTGAACTCTCCAGGACTCTAAGTAGAATCCATTTGAGTCTGATGAATAATTAAATCACATGTGGTAGATTAAGACCGGCTCCCCTCCGCCAACCCGCGCTCTTTTTACCTCGGATCACTCGGATGCTCAGAGGGAAGAGCAAGAGTGGCGTTCGAAAGCAGCCCCTTGAGCAACAGAGTCATAAACAAACTTAGAAAAAGGAATTGAGCATTCTCTTGGATCTCTACAGTTTTACCCCACAACAGATAGCTGACATGATTTTTGATTTATTTGCCTTTTTAGTCAGGCTTTCAGAATTACTTCGATTTCAATTTTCTAAAGATCAAGTGTGGTTCCCCCCCTCCCCCACTTCATAGCAATGCAATGCTTTGTGTTGCTCACACAAATCCCAATAAAATACATTGAAAATGGAAATCGGAACAAAACTGAAATCCTGCGACCGGCGCTTGCTTTGCTGTTTGGCACTGAAATCTTACAAACGTGTTTTCCTACCTGAAGCATGGTTGGGGTAAAGGTCGCTGATCATGGATGGGTGGTGGACCACCTGCATGTACTGAGGTGGGGCCACCATGTGACTGATGTGTTCCTCTGTTTCTGAGCTGTGCCAGACGCTCACCTGGTGGAAGGACAAACGAAATCAGGTTGAACCAGGATTCCTGGCTTTAAATGTTTAAACCATTCAACCCAAACAGAGGTTTCCTCCAGGCAAACTAGAAGAAAGTGAATTTTTGTTCCAGTCAGGAAGACAAACAGCGACTCACTCATCAGGTAAGAGCCGACAGCTATCATGTGCAAATGTTTTTTGCTGCTAGAAAAGGCTGCCTAAGTGCCTGAGTGCAGCATTTTGTGCACCTTGAGTTTTTGGAAACGTGTTATATAAATAAATGTGATCTTGACCTGGTGTAGAATGCTTCAGAGGAAAAAGATGTACAAGCTGATGCTCCGTTTCCTTTCTTTATTACATGAAACAGCTGTCTGACTACTGTTGAATGTGCAACAAACTCATTTTCTCTTTTTTTCTTAAACTGCCAATTTGCCCAGTTTATGTGACAAAGAAAATATTGCAGATGCCCTTTAGTGCAGTTTGCAAGAAAAATGATACACGTGAGAACTTGCTGTTACTACTAATTTTACATTTACTATTTCAAATTTACCATAAAGTTTCCTTGACTATATCATGTCATAAGAAAATGTGTGGATTCTGATGTTTCCTCTCAATGACAAAAAAAGTTAAAAACTCAGAACAAATGGCTTGATTCAGATCTCCAGTAATTCGGTTCACATATTGATCATTGATCTGTATGTTAACAGCTCAATTTGCAAGAAATTAAAGACGAATGGCCCCTGAAATTGAATAGTCGGACCTCTCCAAGCTTCTCCAAGGTTTATGTCTAACATGGCAACCATAGATAGAAACGTAATGAAGGTCGCAGACAGCGCTCTTTGTGAGAATGTCACTTTAGTTTTCCGTTCTCTGTACGTTGGAACATTGACTCAAGGTGCTTGACTTATCCACAGGGACTACATGTTGTTATCCTTATATGGTGGCTAAAACCAAAGCACTCAGTAAAATTGTAATAATGCTGGTTTGGACATGACAACTTTTTATTTTGATTAAGACTTTCTTGTACCAACAGATTATCTAACATTGACCTTTCTGCTTTCTGGCTTAGTTGCAGATGTCAAACAATGTGATGAAAAGAGAAAACAACTATTTGGTTTCTTGTTATTTTTGCAGATGGCGAACAGCAGTAATTCTGAAAATCTGTTTTGCTGCAGCTGGTGAAAGTCATGTTCATGTCCTATTTGATGCTTGTGTAACTATTATTGAGCCTATTATATTGCAGTGAGCCATTCAGACCTGCACTCTTTTTTGCCTCAGCTATAGAGATTCAAAAGAAGCAGGGAATGAAGCTGTCCTCTAAAAGCGGATTCTTAAAATCCTCATTGTAGTCCTCAAAATGTCTGCTGCCGCGAGCAGCTTCGTTTCTGAGGCTATTTTCATTTAGACCTAAAGCAAACATTTAGTCGTATTTATGTTAAATTAGATTCAAACTATGTACCCTATTTTTGCTGCTTGTTATTGCCTCGGCTATCAACAAATTGATGATTTCAAGTCAAAATGACCCACAGGGGCACAATAACGGCAGGTGAAAAGCATATAAACAATAAAAAGTCTAACAAGCTACAAAGAAAAGAAAAATAATATAGAAAAAAAAAACTCTATTAAGCTGCTGGATGGCTGACCTCAAGGGTAAACTCGTTGCTGGTGTAGCGGCCGTTGAGCTCTGAGCAGGTCAGGCGAAACCTCCTCTCCGTCAGCTGTCCGGGCTGCAGGTGGTAGTAATGTACCTTTCTGATCACCTGCTCGTAGTTTGTCATGGAGTCCACGCCTGTGGACAGGGACAGTAGAGGTGTTGTTGCTTACAGGTACTCTATACATGCAGCAGACACAACAGAGTGGTTCTGATGTTGGTCACCTACCATATATGGACATGCCGGACGTGGAGTTGGTTGCGTCAAGGTGTTTTCCCAGAAGCGAGCTCAGTTGCAGCTGGAGGGATTCTTGCTTTGGGTTTAGCTCCTCCCCCAACACAAGAATATCGCAGTAGTCCAAGTTATGGATGATCTCCTCCAGGACGCCGGGTTGATGAGCTTTGCAAACAGAAACATCACGATAAGGTCTTACTCTCCGGCGCTTAAGCACGCAGAAGAGATATTACGCTGGCAGATACCTTTGTTATGAATTGTTCCTTTACAACACCGGTCAAAAATATTCAGTTAGGATTTTTAAAGATTGTTTTGAACCATTTTTCAAAAGTGGAGAGATTATGCAACATCATTTTGAATTTACTTTTGGAATAGTGCACAAAAGGTCAAAATCATACATAAAAGTTCAGGTATGTATAGTTGCATAATATATTATGAATAAATCAGAATTACATTATTATTGTGTGGAATATTCATATTGTTAATGTATGGAGTGCATTAATTGTTGGCTAAAATAGCCCAAAGGTTATGAACTTGCATTTTTCATGCTAATGCAATAATTAAGCCAGTTGGCCAGAGTCTCACAGCTGCAAATAATCACACATGCAAATCATTTTGAACAAATTAGTAAATGGTCAAAGAGGAACTGGAAGCACAAAGAAGAGAATAAGAATAAGAAAAATCTATCCTCCATGTCTAATCCACATTACATTTTGGAGAAATTCCCCATTTCCAAACACAACTTTCATACACATTTCCACTGAGTTCTTTGTAGCTATTGGACAGTCTTTGTGCACTGAAAAAAGAAAGAGCGGAGCGCCAACTTTAAAAAGCTGTGATAATTTATTAATTATATTCAAATTAAGTTTGTCAAACTTACTTTACTTATGTTACTTATGTTTGTTTAGCATGAAAACTAAATAAACTTAATAAATCTGCGTGGGAAAACCATTTTTGTCAGTGTAGTTACTTAATGAAGCAGCATGTAAATGTACTTTAAGGATCTTATTTTAATCTATAAATTCTGGAAATAAATTTCATTTTGATATGTTGGTTCATAAGAGAAAAATAAACATATAGTTTATGATTTATTGACTCTGAACAACAAGAGCCACTCATGAAAAAATGATATACGTACTGCCATGAAAATATACTGAAAACCTGATAAAGTTAGCAGCTATTTTTCCAGTTATTTTAGAAGAAAAGCCAATGTTCTATAGCATAAGCACCCGAGTACTACTACTGACTACTACAAACAGCAATTTAAAAATAAAACTGTAGGGATTTCTCAAACTAAACCTGAGAGAAAGAAAATATGGAAACAAAATGTAATGCTGGGAATGTTGAAGAAAAAATATGCATCATTGCACCCAATAATTATTCCTTTAATAAAAAAAAGTGAAACAAAATAAACTTGGTCAATCAAAATTCCAACAGAACACGACTCCATCTTCCACACACCTTTCAACAGTGGAGTCTAGCATAATATAAAGCTGATTGTGGAAAGGATCACAAAGAAAAGAGTTCAGATAAAAAGAGCCTGAGAGAGCAGCTGAACACCAAAGGAACAAGGAAACAGTGACCTCTATAGCAAAGCAGGACATTTGAGACAAGACAGATGGCTGGGGAAATGGTGCCAAAGTATCGAGGATAAAAGACGGTGCCTTTCAGAATCATCTGAATCAGTCTGGAAATAGACATCTTGGGGAATTAGTGGGAGGAAGACGCAACAGAGTGCTGTGTCAGGTCAAGTAGAAGACAAACCAATGGCAAAGAGACAAAGTGTCATAAACATCCGCAGAAAAGAAACTTAAAGCATGTCTCGCAAAAGAGATCCACAGTTTATCTTAAATCCTTTAGGCTTTGACAGAGCACAAAATCTACCCTTTGTGACACTTTAATGTAACTCCTCCCTGACAAATTCCTATAAACTCTTCCCATCCATCCGACTTCCGTCCTTTCCATTCTCTGGCTTGCTGCTAATCTTTCCCTCCCAGCCGTAGTTTCCATTTCACTTGCAAAAAGAGTTCCTCTGACTCCCTGAAAGCAATGCCACTTTCCGCTCCTCTTCCTTCACACATTACGTACAATGGAGGGATAAAATTTCCCTCCCGCCCGCTTATCTGTTCCTAATTGACTGCCAGCGGCAGGGCTGCGAGGCGAGGCGGGTGGTTTCTTGCCTCTGTGGTCTGATCATTGGACAGAACAGGAGCTGGTGAGATTTAACAGTCGCACTCGTTTGCCACTGGTCAAGGCAGCGCAACAGAAAGAATCAGCCCTCGGGCAGCTACAGGCCGTATTTAGCAGCAGGAGGTCTGCAGTTGCTGAGTGATAAAGAGGAACTGGAGGGACTAATACCTGCAGACTGGTGTAGAGAGGGATGGACTCTGCTGCAGGTGAATGACTCAACATGGTGGGGAGTAATCAGAACAAAAGGCTCTCGCTTTCACTGCAGCTACTGCTGCTGAGAAGAGCTGCGCTCACCCTTAAAGGGGCATCGTTTAGGTTACAGCTCTCTCAGGCTTGTGTTTGGATGTCATTGTGTTTCCATTTTATGCAGGTTTAAGCCTCTGTGAGCGATCGCAGCGGGACTTTAACGGGAGATAAATTGTTTCAGGTGAATTATGTTTGACTTGCAGAAGAGGTGGAATCAAATAAGTTGTACTTCTTTCCACTTCCTTTCCAATCACATATCTAGTGGATATGTGATTGACTTCATGTTGTTTTTTTTTGCTTTTGATATTTGTCTATTATTTTGTTAACATTTGCATTATAATAACCAATTTGCTGGATCCAATACTAAGAAACGGATCTTCATATTTGTAGTAAAGTTTACAACAACCACTACTAATGGTAGTAACTCACACCCATACTTTTTATTGTCAAAAAGTATATTTACAAAAACGTAGTCTCAGAAAAAATCCAGCTGTTCTCTAAAGGCCTCAGACGTTTATTAGAGAACAAATGGCATCATGGAGGCCAAGGATCGTAGCAGATAAGTTAGTGAGAAAGTTATGAAGACGTTTACAGCTGGGTTTGGTTAGAACGTAATATTCCAATCTTTAAACGTCTCACAGTGCTCCTAGATAACACAGTCTCTCCCCAGACTGTGTTATCTAGGAGTTTGAGTTATTCTGCAAACAACTAGCAGAACATTTTGTCTCTAGATGTACTAAACTGGTGGTTACACATCTCCAAAGCCAAAGTTGGTTTTATATATTAACTCAGAGGGTCTAAATATGAACACATACCAAACATTTCACATTTTATTTCCAAATAACACGTATTTGGAAATAATACAAAGTCAAAGTCATGACTTTGTATTTTTCCCTCATCTCAAAGAACATGCAGCCTGGTCTATTACAGTAAAAGTCTTACTAAAAAACATTAAAGTTTGTGTTTGTGGCATAATGGGGAAAAGTTCAAGGGGTGTGAATATTTTTTTTTTACAAAGTACCGTACATGAGCAGATGGTAACTGTTTTTGAAAACAATTTACCATGAAGGACTGTCCTCATTACATGTTTAAGAAAAAAAAAACAAAAAAAAACTTGTATCCCAAGTTGGAGAATTTGCCATTGTGAGAGTGAGAGCACGATGGTTTGACGCTTTGACTTGACGGATTGTGCAGATGCGGCGGATGAAAGCAGCATCTGCTTATCCACGGTCTCAGGAGGTGTTATGAAATGTTTATCTTTCTCTGAAGGTTTGCTTAGCAAGACAGGTGATATGTGAATGTGCTGGTGGGCTTCATGAATGAGCGAACACACCATGAATATGAAAAACACTTGCTGAAATATTTACCCAAGACAGATTTCCACACTCAATCTAAAAACTTTGTGAGATAGTCAGACCTTCTTCCCTGTTGTATGAGAGATTGGAATGCTTGTGTTCACAATGTGGACTTCAGGGAATAGGAAATGTAACCTGAAGAAATCGTAGTACGAGTGTGTGGTCCTACCTGTGTGACGGGGGGCGGTGTCTGCCCTGGTGACTGTGCTGATAATGTGGAGGTCCTGAAATAGAGAGACGCCTCCCGCCGCTCTGAAATCTGAGGCTGACTGGCTGAGTCTCTCCACCCCACTGATGGTGATCCTGGGCTCACTGGGCTGCAGCACCATCACCACCGCCTCGATGATGGGGATGGTGATACATGTGTCTTCACCAAAACACCTAGAGCAAACAGAGGGGAACAAAGGAGTGAGACGAAGAAGAAAAGAACAGCGGGCTGAATCACCAAGCACAGGTTGGTCGAAATGACATCAAAACTGCGCTTCTTTGTGCTGTGTCACAGTGAGGTTTTAGTTTGTGACTATTATTTGATAAGCGACAGGGGTTCAGGGTCAGACACTTCAACAAAGCTTGGACCACAGGCAGAGTAAAAAAAGAGGACAGTAGGACGCTCCCTTTCTTTTGTCCCCAAATGAAAACAGTAGAGTTAAAAATCAGTGCTGAAGGAAATGGTTTTGAACTAATATTAGCAATCGCTCTGAGAATAGAAATATTCTGTATTGTCCCCAAATGGGGGCAATAAAGACACATTTTATTGTCCCCCAAATTCAGCCGTGACAGCAGCTTTGGAGCTTTCAGGTTCACACGAGATAAAGAAGCAGCATCCATAAAACCCCTTTAGTGTTCTGGTCGTTAAAACTTTTTACTGGGTTATTTTCAGACTCCAGATTTGGGAAGTTGTTCACTACAGTTCACTAAACTGCCTCCCTCTTTTTGATTTTGCAAAATCAAAGAGGGGGGAAAAACTCACAATCAGTAATGGCAGCAAAAGAACAAACCAAAACAAACAATTATGGCACCAAATCGTACAACTTCTTGCAAAAGTATGGAATCACAGGTCATGGAGATCACACAGTGAGTTGTTTCCTATGGGGAAACATGCCACTAAAAAATGTTTGATATTGTTGCACTGATTGGCACATCATTTTTCAGATTATGTGCATGAACAGACAAAAAAAAAACAGAAACAAATACATTAGTACTTCATCTGAGTTTTATATCAGCTTGAATATTTGGATTCTTCAATTTCACCAAAGACAAACAAAAACACGGTTTTGTTTTTTGTGCTTCATTTCTTGCCATTCCACATGTTAATTTGCCCTCCTAAAGGAGCTTTGTTACCTTTCCACTGTATAAACTGTTGAGGGCTTGTTTCCTGTCAATCATCTCAGAGTCACAGCTCAATAAGATCCACAAATTACAGGATGATGATGATTAATGTGAATACATATTTGCAATTGATTGCCACATTAAGGGATGTTTAATTTTTATGAACAGTGCTGCCCAACATTTGCCGGGACCTCTGGTTAAGAATTATAAAAGCATTGAAATTAGTTATTCTCTCATTGCAGTTTTGAATATTTTATTAAAACTAAAATGGATAAATATTTATATCCCTAAAACTCTCTTTCAGATAGATAAAACTGAAGCAGTTTTTTAAATGCAGACTTTCCTTCTTTGCTTTTAAGAACATCTCATAAGTAATCTGCAGCTTTCCGTTTATATTGAGCGTATGACATAAAACCCAGGCCTGTTTTTTCTGGGTCTGGCCACTAGCCTGGATGACAACCCATATGTATCTTATCTTACATATGGCAACATTTAAGATGAGATAAACATTGCCTATCTTATCTTATCATGGCCATATTTAGTATGGTGGGGGATCTGTCATGCTGTGGGCCTGCTACTTCAAAAGTTAAGGGAATTTTGAGTCCATGGATTCTTAGAAATCTGATAGCTTATACCAAAACAGGATAATGGTCCACAACAAACGGAAAAAGCAACCCAAACGTGGCTCATCAGGTACACAACTAAACCATCTTTCACAGCAATCTATGACTCAAAACTCCAAAGATCTCTCTCTCCTAATGCTCCGAACGTTTTGAGCTCTACCAGTGGGGAAGCATTAACAGCAAGGTTACCACTAGTTGTGTAATCTTTCCTTGTTGAATAAATATACTCAATGTTCGAGTTTATTAGTGTTTCAAAGCATGCTGCTGAAGTTAAATTATGAATATATTTCAATTCTTTGAACCCATCTTTGCCAGGGGTGCCAATAAATGTTGCCTACACATTATATTTTACATTTTACAAACCCAGAAGATAATTTGCAGTCACATTTCAGAGGGTTATTTTGTTACAACAGACTAAATTTCATCCAAGAGCTGCAACTCTGCGTTTATTTTTTTGCCAGAGGGTGTAGTAAACCTCCAATCAAACCTCTGATAGTTCACAGAAAAAAAAAAAAAACATCCTAGAGAGATCTGTGCTGTAATTACTACAGTTATTTAGAGGGTAATACATTCTGTCACGTTAGTTTTTATTGAGTAGAATCAGAGCTGCAGGACTATACTTGTTTTCGATACCCGCCTCATAAACACACAGCTTCCACTGGCAACATTTAATGGGTGGGAGCTCGTTGAGAGCTTAGAATTAGCTGTGATCTTACAATGAAGCCTGGGTAAGCGTTATCCGTACCACACACAGACATACATCTGCCATGTTCACACATGTATGCGTACAGAAACGATGTGAAGCCTGACGGATGCACTGGTTGAAGACTGCAGGTTGGACATCAAAGGCCTTTCAAGCACACAGACGTGTCGGTGGGAGGGACATCAGAGCTTTCCCTCCATACTGTGCCTCTGCGGCAGCTACAGGAAACGATAACATGTTTTCTTTCCTGGATTGGAAACCTGGAACGTACGGTTTACGCTGCAAGGCATTATCTGTCTTTTCCCACCTACGTCCTGATGTAAATTATGCTGCAATACGCCAATCCATGACACACATCAGCATAATGAATCCCCATCTCAAGCTGGGATGTTTCTTAGTTGTTTTTAAAAAAATGCTTTAAATTTGCATTTAAACTCAAAAATGATTTACAAGAACTTCAAAGCTTTACTTTTTATTTCATCATTCAGAGTTCAGTCAGTTTTTTTTATATAATTACATAAATTAAACCCATAGATTCAAATTTTACATGTAAAATGCCCCAATTTTCTGATTTTTGAAGAAAAACATCTCACACTGATCCCACCTTTACATCAGAACAGAAATGAAATGCTGGGAAAAGGAGTAAATGCCTGGATTATGCGAGTTATGTTTAAATTTCCCTTCGAAAAAACTAAATATTTTTTAATTGATTTGAAATTTACTGAAATTGAGAAGGTGGTAAAGCTTTTATAAAACCACTGAGGGACTTTAAAAAGGAAAAGCCAGCCTTGTACTTACACCCTCAATTGGAATGACTGTTGCAATAACTTTGAGATTTTAATCATGCATTGTAATTGGCCTTCTTTCAGTTTAACATTATTATGGAGCAAACATATTTAATAAACTGCAAAACCAAGAATTGGGTGACCAATATAAAATAATACATATATAACATTCACCAACTATATATCATTGTCATATCTTTATTATAGTTGTGTGTTTAAACATATGATAAAATATGTTAACTGGAATCTTTCAAACCTGAAACTGGTTTAAGATCCAAAATTAGTAGTTTCTGTAATCTCTTTAGATGTTTTCTCTGCTTGGTGCTTGGCATTGATTTGACCCTTCCTACCATAACATCTTTTCCACAACTACAGCATGTAGTTGTGGGAAAGAACCATGTGGTTCTTAAACAACCACATGGCTATTTAGAAATGAGAAGCTACTCATCGCATCAGTTGGGGTTAAATAACTTGCTGCCAGCTGAAAGGCAGTCGGCCATGCAGTAATTATCCAATAGGATGCTTTGTTAGATCCAGGTGGCGAGGCAATGCTTTACATATAAAAATTATTTTGTAAAAAAAAAAAACAAACAACATATTCAAGTAAGAACAGAATATATGATAAAATAAAAATCTGGTGGAAAATTAAGTTTGTGCTGATACTGCAGAGGACAAGCAAAAAAACCTACAAAAATAACAGTTTATGTTGCTTTTTTCTGCTCTTTATGCCTTTTTCTTGGCAAGAAATGAATTAATGTGTGTTGTTAGGTTTTGAGTCGTGGAAACCTTAGAATACTTTGGACTAACATCAGTCAGAAAGCTTCTGTGCATCCGTCATCATCTCCTTCCTCACCAGGTACACTCGCTCACACAAGTCTCTATTACAAACAAGCAGAGCACTGAAGCAGCTTGAAGGCAGTTGGGGCATCATTTTGGGAATGGAGCAGGAAAGCTGTGCTGGACCCGTGGAGTCATAATTTGATATGTGCTGTTGCTCTGCAGCTCCATTAGCTCCATCTGCATGTACAGGCACCTCTCTGCATCAGAAGCGAAACGGATTATGAAAGAGTTCCAGATTAAGTTTTGCCCATGATATCTTTAAAATGTGCACAAGCCAAGGCTGACTGAGTTTTTCCATTGCTTGGCTACATAGAAAGTCTGCCAAGTTTCCTTGCTGCATCTGATTCTCACACAAGCTTGATGGACCCATGGCTGGAACTGTGAGCAGCTATTCTGTGCATTATGGGATATGTAGTGTGATTAGATTGAGCTCTACAGAACTAATTGGTAGGCCTATACAAAATGAATTTAACTGCACTGAGGTACGAAAGCATATATTTTTTAAAAAGTATTATTTCCTCAATCTCCAATTGTTTTTGTAAATATTCGAAGAAGCTACCTTTTGTATGACTATTTTATGTTGCAGACAGAAAGGTTGAATTGCATTATTAAAAGAAGGAAAACATGACATCATGCACATGGTGAGTAAACATTTTACTGGCATAAAATACTAAAAAGAAGCTACGTGAATTTTCTGAGTGTTGGTTAAAAAACTATTGTCTCTAATCCTGCAAAATTAATTGTTTGGATTTACAGCAGAAGTGTCCAAAGTGCAGACCAAGGACATAATTTTGTCTTTTTTTTTTTTAAAGTAAAACCTCTTTCAATGGAAAATGTTTGCTACAACAAAATGTTATTTTTTCAATAAAGCATTTTGAGATTAAAGAATGATCCATACCTGCCATACTGTTGATGAGAATTGACTAAATCCATCTCCAGACCAACAACACAGAAAACAGCTCACTCAAAAAAAAAATAAATAAATAATAAGGCACACATTAAGAACCATTTTTGTTTCAGGTCTGTAATGATTTACAAGTCCCCTTTTTTATCAAAAATCAAAGTACTTTGCTTTATTAAAATATTCAGATTTGTTCATAGAGAAGTTTTTTTATTGCTTTTTTTATTTGGAAATAAAAAAGATGGAGTGTAAGTACTAAAACTTTGCAGTTTAGTTCGGACACAACTGATTCACAGCCAGTAATCTTATTTCGTGGTCAGCCTATTTCCAAATTCAATTGTGTTTACAGTTATTTTGTTTACATCATGCCTCTAATAGTTACTGACAATAAATGGTAGGGGCCAGTGTTTCTGCTGGTCGTTCTTCTGGATGGAGCAGTAAAACTGCTAGCTAAAAATTAGATCAGCAGAAGGATCCAGAACACGCTTAACACACATTTGCTGTTGTTAACTCAAAGTAGATGAAACAGTAACACAACTATGGCAAGAGGGAAAGTGTTTAGTGGTCTAAGGTTGATAAATGTGTAGAATTAAAGGTCATTAGCAAACCCCCTCTAGGTTTATTAAATACTCAATACAGAAGCTCGCCTTTTAAATGTAAGAGCAAAAAAAATAAATAAAAAAAAGAAGTTCGCCAAATGATGTTAAACCATTTTATTAAAATATTCACTGCCGTTAATAAGTTAATAAGAGTTTATGCATTTGTGGGTAGTATATTTTTTCTATCTATCCTAAGGTTCTAATTTCATCATCTGCAGCAGAAAAATTGCAACTGGAGCAGAAGAATATTAGAGGCAGTCTATTCTCATCAAGACGTTAAACCCTAAGGCCACGATTACACGAGACCGCTGTCTGGAATCTGCTGGTATTTCCAGATACAGACCACTAAGACACTCTGAATCCAATATAGTTGTCATGTCGGGCACTATATGGGGCAGTGGTCAGAGAATGTCGTTGGCACTTTTGACCTGTAGCTTCCACCTCATTTAGAAAGCAGTCGCCCTGACACGCCCTATTACTGGGCACTCACATATTAGCTAGTTTATTTTTACTGGACGCTCTCTGGTCATGATAGAAAAAAAAAAATCCTCATATTTTGATCACCAACTGATTTTCTTATGTTTCCCTAATATCGGCAACAAAGTTGATGGCATGTCCATGCTTCTGTGCATTTTTAGAAAAACCTAGTAAAAATAAGCCGCTTGCTTATGTTTACTATGCATTAATGCAATTCTGACACATCAGCAAGAAACCTGCTTAATTGCCAAAAATCCTTCAGCATCTCAACTTATTCTGCAAAACAATCCTCACCAGACAGGCTTTGTCATGCAGTTGCCAAAATTTTCTGACAGGAAGCCAAGTTTCAAGTTTAAATTTGCTTGTTTATAGAGCCATGGCAGCTTTGTCCAGGATCTGCAAGCAAAATTTCATTTGAGCAAAATTTGCCAATGCAATGATGCAAGCTTATTTGCGTTTGCATAATGTATTCCTTAACAACTGCTATGCCTCCAGCTTCAATGGCTTTGGTTTATCACCAGCCACCCATGCAGCGTGCACACAGAGTCCTCGGGTCCGTGTCCGCGCAAAGACCCTGACGGGAGGGAAGAGAGATGGAACCCAGGGCTGTGCTGCAGGGGTCTACATATATTTAAAACAATCATGAATTTTAATAGTTACACGCTGAGGGAGACTGTTTTACAAGCCACTCGCTCTTTCTCCCCCTCGCCCCTTCCCTCGCACATACAGATTCACGTTCAGTTTTTTCATCTTTATTTCCCGACTCCTCCAGCAAAACCCGCCTGGAATTATTAATACATGACATGAGGATGTTAAAACTAGCCCCCGGTGGCGACAGCAAACTCAATTTGGTGTGTTAACAGGAAGTGACAGCCAAAGGAATGGCAGCACAGGGACAGGGCTGAGAGAAAGACGTGTGGAAATCGATGTGTGAAAAGAGAGTTACATTAGTCAAGGCCGTCTTCTGTGTTGTTGTTACACTTAACAGAAGTGTTGAGGTGGAATAACATTCATAAGAGAGCCGCAGAGACCCAGAAACAATACGAGGCATGCCAAATATGAAGGAATCCACAGGGAAGACGGGGACACATTGGATGGAAGTCAAAATAACTGTAAGAACAAGTTGGTGACACACTTACTGGACGGTGGTGGAGATCTGCAGGCGGCGAATGCCCGGTGTGGGAAACTGGCGGGAGTTTATGTAGGAAACTTTCCTCACAGCTGTGTTAATGTTCTCCAGATTCTCTCCCTCCATCACCAGAATGGACTGAGCTGGATTGAAGTGGAACTGGGAGATGGAAGCAACGAGAAGCAAGTAGATGTTAAATGAACTGATGGACATTTATACAGTGGATCAGTTTGGTTTCTGTTTTGGAAACCATCACTATCCGTCTGTTAGTCACGAACAGGCCAGGAGTGATCTGAGTTCTCATATTCTCCTGATGGTAACTTGTCTGCCATTTTCTGAGTTCAAAACTGATTTCAGGACAGAATCTCCTGGATCAATTAATAAAACAGAAAACAGCGTAAAACTGTAATATTCTGAACACCTGGGGGCGGTGTACCGAGATGGGAGAACTACGAACCTTGAGTAAAACTGTTGGTGAACATGTTTACGGTCAATTACAAATTCAGCAGATGCAGAGCAGCATCATTAATCACTTGGAGAGGTATCTGTGGCCACTTTGTACAGGAGAGTCCAATAATCACTCTCCTCTTAACTCTGCAGCAACTCCGGTGGGAAATTTGTGGCTATTTAGCAGCTAAGTGCTCCACTTTGTTCACCAAATAGCTTTGTCTGTCAGTTATCTGATTGCAGCATGGTTAGTGTACAGATGTTTTTCTTCTCTTTCGGATTAACAACTTCTTGAGGCTGCAGAAAAGAAGACTGAAGTTATTCAACAACTTTAAAGTAGCTTGTACTGGTAATTTGTATGTGCCAGAGTTGTGTAAACTATTTATGAGCATAGGGTAGTACCTACAGATAATGCATTTAATTGGTATTGACTATGTAGTCTTTCGAACTCTAACAGCTAGGAGCAGTTCAGTGGCAATAAATGGATATGCTGCATATTCAAAAATGAAAGCAGCATTTAGATGGCATATGGACGAATTTTGGAAAATGTTTGGAGTCAGGATTTGGATTTAAAGTTACAATTCAGCTTTTATAGTAATAATGTTTGTCTGATCAGTGTCATTAGACAGGCCATTCTGATTTAGCCAAGTAAAAAAATATGAAATGAAAAAAACAAAACCAAAAAAACCCCAAAAAAACAATCCTATTAATATTCCTATGCCTGGTTTAAAAAGTACAGGCTGTCCTTCTCTAATAAATTTTGGTTTGTTCTACAAAGTTTCCAATTTTTTTCTAGACATTACAGCAACTCAATGAGAAGGAGGTGAAAAACCATCCATCAGTGATCATTGTTGGTACCACTGTATGTGTATCAATATGGATAAAACAGAAAAAAACTGAAAAAAAAATCTATACTATTTGTGCAGTCCTTTGATATTTGATGACAGGACCTTCTTGCCCCAAGATGCTTTTGTGTGTTCCTACTGCAACAGCACTGATTGCTACCCATTCCTTCAAACTGGGTCCTGGCGACAAGGTGACACTCCCCAGAGCTCTCCCCTGTCATTTTCCCATCCACATTACCCTTTCTCTTGCTGACTCCACTCAACATCCTGTTTTCTGTCACCACTCTTACTGCCTACCTCCTTCAGTCTCCCTCTAAGCAGGATATTATCCTCTGATTGCAAAGTGCCAGCCCTCCGCCTCCCTGGATAAACTCTTTCCCCAAGTTCCTGCGCTCTTATTGGAGCCACATGAGTGTGGCTAAGAAGAAGATATAATGGTACTCTAAAGAGAAACTGCTCTGGCCCTTAAGAGGATATCCTCCCCTGCTCTCATATCCCAGCACCTCGTTCCACTGAGTCGTCTCAAAAGGTTGTATCTCTTCACTCCATCGCAGCACAAGGAGACCTATGCAAAGAGTGGGCTTTAGAAGAGAGCAAGACTGAAGAGGGGAAGATGAAAAAGAGAGTTAAAGGAGCTGATGGTGGGTGGTTAAGGGGGGGACAGCTTCGGGTGTGCACAAACCCCCATTTATCTTGTCTGCCCCCTGTCTTCCACAGCACAGGGAGATGGATTAGCCAGGCCGGTGCAAAGGGAAATTTGGGGGGAGAGAAAGAGAAAAGCAGATAAGTTTCATGAAAACCAGCTGGTGATTCTGCTGGTGATTTAAAGCTAAAAATTTATCTCGAAGCGGAGATCAAAAATGTGTGCTTCTCTTTGTACACGTTCAAGAAGAATGTATGCAAAACTTTGTCTCGGTGGAGACAGGATAGGTTCTGAGCGGGAACAAGCTGTAAAGCATCCACGGCTGCAGAAAAAGCTCAAGTTAAAGAAACAGGTTTTTTTTTGGTTTTTTTTGTTTTTACAAAAGAGAAGGAGGGGGAAGATGAGTGATGCGATTCTCAGGTCTGCTCGCCGCTGGTTCTTTGTGTGTGTGAGTGTGAAAAATAGAAACGGTAGCAGCAACTAGAAAATGATGAATGAGGCCCGGTCGACACAAGCCATTAAAAACAGAGATTCACTATGCATGTTTCAATTACATTTACACTTGTTGCATGTATGTCTTGTAGGTACTGTCTTTTTTACAACTGGGAGCAGCTGATAAGCATCTCAAAAGCTCAAATAACACCTGAATTATGACCCCAAGTCTCAGAGGGGTAAAAACAGAGGCCCTACTGTCAGACAGAGATTTAAAAAGTATAAAAGCAAATGAGATGGATTAGCAGTGTCATCCAAGACATTTTACTGTGGAATATTGTCTCTGCTTCTTGGGAACCAAGTTCTAAGCATGTCATGTCAGTCATGGGTATAATATCATCAATTGAATGTCTTTTTATTTCATAATTATCAGCTGTTCACTGATAGTTTTAATGAAATGTCATCAGTAATTATATAATACTGAAACATGCCAAACATAATCCCTACAATAACTATAAAACATTTAGCCATGGCAAAAACAAAACAGCATTTCATAAGATAAAGTCACACAAATTTTACAATAAATAATACTATTTTTAAAGTGCTTCTCATTTCCTGTAGCAGCTTTCAGAACAGCTTGTACACAAGAAGTTAGTATTTGGTGTTAAATGTGCTATTGTTCTATCTCTGTCTTAACTCTGCTACAGCTAACATATGTGTTTAAATTTCTGCTGGACAGTTTCAGTGATTTAATCTGCCAATAAAAGGAGATTTGTGGTGCTTTCTGTGCTATTTACGCCTGTTCTCTTCACACCAGCTTAAGAACTGTTTCTATGCCAACACCATAAGGTTGTTAAACAATAATCACTCAAACGTTTTAGAATAATAAATCATTATTTAAAAAGATATTTAGTTTATTATGGAATGAACTACCTCATATATTGTTATGTCTACCTTTTTAGCACTTGGAACTTCATTCATTTATTTAATTTCTACTAACCTAAGTGTAATGTTTACTCACTACACTCTTTTGTAACATGATTAGATGAAGCCATGTGAAGTTTGCAATCAACAAATCAAACAGAAGATTATTACCGTATCTGGAGGAATCATAGTTTTCAATACTGGATCTGCCAATCATTGTTCAGAGTCGATCAATGGAAAATTGGCGAGTTTCCACCTCTATTCAATCAGATTATACAGTCTCCTTTTTATAATTTGGGTTAGAACGGGAAGTGGAGAGATGTAGCTTTTCAACATCAGTAAGAATTGAACTTTTCTCCTACTTGGTATCTAAGACTTAACGTGATATGAAATATTTGATTATCTGACTTGTGAGTCATGAAGCTCTCATTCTGTATTTGTCCCTCATGACAATAATTCTGTGGCACAACAACAGTAAAATACTATCACGACAAATAAGAGCCTAGACTTTTGATTGTCCTTAATGTCCACTAGTTTCTGTTTCAGATACTAAGAAGGCATTAAAGTAAGTAAAAGTGCCTTTGTGAAGCTGTGCAAGGTATAAAACCCCTGAAGGATTCAGGAAACTGAAATTGATGGTTCTGAAGTTTCAGTCTGGTTCAGCTGGGACGGGCTTTAGGGGAAGGACACAGTAAAAGTCCCATCATTCTTATTCTCATCCAACCATTCTGTGACTGCTAATGTTCAATGGACAAAGGCACCTTTAAGACAGAAAGTCTAATTACAGAATAAGATTTAATACTGTAATTTAGAATAACTATGTGTTCATCTGTATTGGTCCAGTTGCGAAAAAGACAAACGCTGTATGAAACATTTATTTAAAATGAATCTGGGCTATAATATTTGTGACAAAAAAATTATTCCTTCAATTAATGTTTTTAAAGATATTTTTTTTTTCTTTTTTTTTTCACCATATTATTCCCCAATTACTACTGGCTTCTTTTTCTTTATTCTCAAGGTGTTTTGAGTACCTTTATACTCTTATCCAAGCTCTCCAGGGAGTTAATGTCCAGTCCCTCTTTGCAGGCCTGCAGACAGGAAATGACTTTCTGACTCTCGATCTTCCCCGGTCGGATGGTCAGTCCAGATAAGCTTCCCCGGAAGTACTGAGTGAACCGGGGCTTGGTAACTTCTCCACCTACAAGCACAAATAATAAACATAAATATCCACATAATTAGGTTATTAACATTCACTTTGTTTTGAAGAAATATTTTAAGAAATAAGTTTCTTAAAATATTTTTGTATTTTAAGAAACTTAAAATACAAAAGTATTTTAAGTATAAAAAAGTTTTTTATTTTCTTAAAATAAAAAACTTATTTTAAGAAAACTTATTTCTTAAAATAAGTTTTAAGAACCTGGGCTATAATATTTGTGACAAAAAAATGATCAGAATGAGACAACAGAAGTTCATCTTTACTGGAAGGTGTGCATGGGAACCTTTGCTCCCTAAAAAACATCACAGTCAGAATAAGGTTTGTCAGAAAGAATCTAAGACCAGAGCATCTGAAAAAAGCTTCTTTGTACTGATGAGTCTAAAGTATAATTGTCTGAGCAACACAGCAGAGGATATGCATGTTCTCTTATCAGGTAAATGTGTGCATGTTTCCTACGGAAGGAGCTGCTGCCCAATTCCACCTTGTATCAAATACTGCTTGAAGTAAATCTGTATTTACAAGACCATTGGTAAGCATATAAGGAAAATGATGCCGTGTGTTTTGATCAGTAAAGTTATGGCAAATATTTAACTGATTTTAGTGAGTTAACCTTAACAGTAGCATAGTGATTGCTAACCCCAAACAAGATGTTGGTATACATAAACACATTTGATTCCCTTTTGTCCTTTTCCTCTGATGACATTTATACAAAAACCATCAATTTAAAATGATGAGAACAAGATAACAGGGTTAGGCACAAGAAGAAATGAGCAAAACTACCAGGTATGTCGTTGAGCCTTTTGATCCCAAAGACCAAATAGCAGTTATGCCTCTCCATGTGGCGATAAAGCAGCAGGGCGCTGCAGTAAGTGATATTCAGCCTCCCTATTCAGGCTAAATAAAGGGAAGGAAAAAGTCAATACATTTAAAGTCTGTCCTCTGAACCCCATAAAGGCCAGAACCAGCAATAAGGGCCTCCAAGCCATTCATTAGCTAAAAGGTTACTGTAGCTATGCCTATCAAACTTCACCTTTGCATTCCTTTCATTTATTCCCTCTGTCTTTCTCTGCTGTTCTTTAATTCTGGAAGTAATCCAATGGAGAACTACAAATAAAGAACATTTCTTTCATTGTTATCTGCCTGGCAAAAAGCAGATAACAAATCCTGTCTCACGCATCAAAATAAATAAATTAATTAATTAAACAAAGGGAAGATGAAGCGAAGCAATGACTGATAAGCTAGGTGAAACCAACTTCCTGTAAAATCTTTGTGATCTTCAGTCTCATGGCAAACTTCCTCCCACATCGATTGATGTTTGAATTTGTTTGTGATTAGTTTGCAAGTTTAGATGTAAAAAATCTGAGAATATAATGTGCCAGTCAGTGTACATGGCTATAGATTTGTCTGTTTTATAAGACATATTTGACTTTATTTCTAAAATAATGTGTGATGACCACAGACTATGTATGTGTTTTATGTGATAATGTTGGTTAAAAACTACTGTTATTTGATTTCTTTAATACAGTGTGTAAAAGAGATATTGTTTTAGAATCCAATCTTCGTGGCTTATGTTTATAATTAAATACATACTGCTCAGTCCTATTTGGGTCATAAATTATGACCTGGGTGTAAAACTATAAAAAAGCTGAACACTATCCAGCTTTTTCACTTTTTCCAAATCTATCATGCATAGAAACATTGCACAGAAGTGGAAACTGTAGTGTGAATATCCATTTCGTGCAGATGAAACTCAGCAACTCTGGCAATTGCTTCCTGAATTCAAAACATTAGTCTCTACACTGCAGTCGCTGGGATCCTGTATTGTACGGTTATTTGCAGAATCATGTGTGTGTGTGTTTCTGCTGCAATAGCGGAAGAATTGTTTTCCATTTGAGCAGCTACATGAAAACATGACTATCTCTATCTTTCCTGTGAAGCGGCTGCTGATATCCCACCTTGGTGCTTATGGGAACGTGGGAAGAACAGATTCCGTCCCCATGTTTATAAAATCCCATGACCACATATTGAATCCCATATATTAAACACATTCTTTCGGTTATTGTCACGCTTCACCTGCTTCCTCTTCTAGACTCACTTTTTAGCAGTCCTTTATCTTAAGACATCCAACTGTCCCTTAGTCCCACCCTGACAGATGTTATCAATTTACGATGCAGTCAGGGAAGCTATTAAGGTCCCCAACAGCAGATTAAAAGACAGAAAGTTGAGGTGAGGGTATTAGTAAGACACTGCAGAGAGAGAGGGAGAGGGAGCATGATAAGGATGATGAAGGTGATGATCATCCCACTTGAGTGAGAGCTATTTTATTGCTCTACAGATCTCCACTCTATTATTTTTATTCATCTCCAAAATAGAAGCAGATAAGAGTGAAAAGGCACGGCAGAGCTGGAAACAGGACTGTTACTTAGGTAAGTGAGAAATGGGAGTTCACACTCACTGTGATTTAGAGTATGTGGATAAATGCATCCATGGCTGTGGGCCTATATTTATTCAATTTACTTTGTATAAAGGTATATCAGTTTCAATTTGTGCTCAAGTGCAATCACCAGCAGATCTTGGCTGCATGCTTGCTGCTGGCGGCGGGAAGTTAGGAGGCCAGGCAGTGGCGTGTGATTTCACACTCCAAGAAAGCAAAGAAGGTGCCAAGATGATTGTGCTACTCTAAATATCAAACACTTCTGAGAAAGAACTGTTCAGAGAATAAATACAGGTGAAAGAGGCAGATTGTGAGAGAAGAGCACAGCCAGCACCTGCTCTCTGGTTTTAGAGGAGGCCCAAGTGGGAGGAAGAAACTTTTCATAAAAGTAGAAACAGGTGAAAGAGTGAAAATGCATTTTCAGAAGGAGCTGCTGTTGTACAAGATAAATTAAAGCTTTGCAAGGGAAAGCGTTAAATCAAATTTGTAACAATCAAAGTTTGTTGAAGTAATATGTTTATGTTTATGTTTATGCATGAACACGTTTCAAATATAGTTATGTAAAACAATTAGCACACCCTGCGACAGCCAGTGTGTTTTCTAACATATTCGAGCACAATACGGATATTTAACATCACTTTTACAATTATTGAGAAAAGTAAAGTGAAGAAAATTACTTTTGAGTACAATAAAAGCAAATTTTTGGCGAGGAATAAATTACCACATGACATGCATAAAGTCACATAACATGCTCATGATAGGAACCTAGTCACCATTTTTCAGGATATTTGCCCTGTTTAAACCTCAAAGATTTAGTCTGATGTGCTCCTGACTGTTGACGTCAAAGTAAACACCCTGGTGAGATTAAAAGAGCTATTTGAGGCCTTCAGAAAGAAGATTACAGCGGCTCACGAGTCTGGTATGGGACTTAAAGAATATGAAATCAGCTATTCCACTGTAGGGGAAATAGTCCACAGGGGAAAGACATTTAAAACAACTGCCAACACACTGATGTACGACCAATCCATGCAAGTTCAATCCCGAAAGCAAGCTACAAGCTTATAACAGACTCCAAAACACCCAGAAATGTCTAATAAATCCTTACTCCAACCTCAGGAATATTGTTCTCTGGATATATTAATCTAAAACTGAACACCAGAGCTAGAGACATAATTGGTGTAAACCAAATTCAGCATACCAAGAAAGAGAACCTCACACCAACAGTGAAGCAAAAGTGAGAAAGTGTTATGTTTTAAGGAAGCCCTATTGCAACAAGACCTGGTCAGCTCATCATTATTAATCCTGGATGCTTTAAAGGGTGATAGAGCAAAATATGAGCATAGTCCTTAAAAAATAGAAATAAAAATAAATAAAAAGCTCAAGACAAGCTCAAGACAAAGCATAAATGAGCCCTGTACACCTAAAACATACCAGCAAATCCACCAGGAACTGACTGAGGATACAAAATGGAAAGTCCTGGGCTTTCTTTGCTCACACATGCTTCATTTCTGTCTATCTATGTTAGTCAAGTATAAGCTTCAATTGTGAGAATGCAAATAAAATTCCAGTTTTCTTCACGTCAGAAAATACATTTTTTTGAACACACAAATTATCATGGTGCTAAACATGAAATCCCAAATGCTAGCGTCTGCTAATATTGTCAACAGCAGGCTTAATTACAAATTTTACACACTCAGAACCCTGTCACAATAAACCAGAATGGCTCCTTTGGGTAAACACATGAAATACAATAATTCCACATGAAATGTATTTGCTATGGTCCAAACAGAATCTGTTCTCATTAGACAATGCTCACTCGCCATTTGTGTGTTATGAACCATGAAATTAAATCATTAAATTGAATTAAATACAGCAGACTATCACGGAACTGTTTAGAGCTGACAAATCTTTTATTTACTCCGCCATCACACTCCATCAAGCCATTTATCGAGAGAACTTTATATCGGTCTCTGAATCCTTTTTTTTTTTAAATATATATAAACCCAACCAGTAAGCTAGAAAATGCAGATAATCACTCCAGCAATTCTACTCTGAAAATGGGTTCAGAGCAGAAGCTTCAGAAGTCAGTCAGACAACAGATGAGCTCATCTTTGCAATCAATATGGCAGATACAAACAGCTTAGTGCTTTGAAAAGGCAATCTGCTGTGGCTAATGGCTTATGTTAAGATTTCGGTAGCGCCTTTATGACTCTTAACTGAGGCTTAGCCTCAATTGTAAAACAGCTGCAATACTCTCTTAACTCGCTTTTCAATTCAAGCCCCTTTTAATCCTCCCAAAAGCACGTCGTGCTGTGTTCACTTAAAGAAAGGGGAGGGGATGGAGGAGAAAGAGGAGGGAGGTGCGGTGGGGCGGTCCCTGCCACAGATGAAAGTGACAAAAGATGACCCTCTCTCGCTCTCACATAGAGGGATATCTTCATCTAAGGCAGAGCATCGCTGAGCAGCTCTTTGGTCTGTCAGATCAATGGTGGGGTGCACCAGGGGTAAAAAGTCCCTTTTCTTCTTCTGTGTCCAATTAGCGGCAGCTATCAGTTTAGAGGACACTTTAATTTGGGGCCTTCATTCAGACTGGGTCAGTCGCTTGTCAAAGACAGACTAAGGGTTCTTCTTAATTACATTGTGCATTCAAGGCCAAAGAGCATGTTCGGCACTCTGTGTCTCCCTGAAAGTAATACTTATTCTGGAGTTTCGATAAGAGGAAGCAGCAGATTCCTTAAAACCCAAATAATGACTTTGACTTTTACTGCGATTAGATTCAATAACTTAATACGTCTTAAAACTTCTAACAGCGTCACACCTTGCCAGCAGGCACCAACTGTGAGCTGCACATCAATCTGCGATGGATGGATGGGCCAGTCATCCGTCACCAGGTAGGGATCGTAGGTGACTCCGTCCACATAGAGCGCCACCACCGGGAACTCCACGTTGATGACGTAGTAATGCCACTCCTTGTCGCATATCTGAAAGGAAGGAAGAGCATGAAAAGGGTCTATTAACGCGTGGGCTCTGTACCCTAAAGATGTAGTTCATGAAAGTGCCACAAATTCACTCAACTTACAGTACATTTCAAGTGCAAATATCAGCCACTTTTTAGGAGACTAACTTCTTTTTTCCTGAAATATATTGTTAAATGTATCAACTTTAACTTGACTGTGACTTTATTGTCTTCAAGGGAAATTCATTTTCATTCTCAAGTTACCACTTGTATAAGAACATCAATATTGTGCAAAAAGGTGTCATCTCTTTTTCTTTCAGTATAATGCAGATGCTCTGAATATCTTTTAGGTTTTGAACCATTTTGTTCAATCCGTGGTACTGGGTTTGAATTTTGGCTGGGGATCTTTCTGAATGGAAATTAATGTTCTTTCTGTGCTGGAGTTGGTTTGGAAAATCCCTTCACTGTATGTAACCACTGTTTCACAAAAAAACAGGTTCTACTGGTGTATGTACTTATGTAGATAATTGTTTATTTTTTTAAAATATGAAGTTTTTTGATTCAAAGTTTCATAATCAGAATATATGCCCAGAAATGAACATTTCTACAATTATACTTAAGTTAATTAGGTATAACTGTAATACTTTATCAGTATCACTCATTTCCATTCCTTGGTTGCTGAAAAGCTTCATGCCTAAAATTAAACTGTTAGAATTTTCGTCACATATCATCAATTTTAACAATTTAGTCATTAGTAAGCATTCATATATTTTTTATTGCACAACTTAGCTCAGGGTTAAGACTTTATACTGAGTTTATTGTGCATCCTGTGTGTCGCAATTCACACTCTAACCACTAGATAGGTGTCAAAGCACTTTTAGTAGTGGATTAGGATAAGAGGCATATGTAGAAGCTAACATTTATAGAATAGATACACCCATTGACTCCATTAATAAGCAAACAGGTATGAAGCTAATTAACTTCACCAGTGCATGAGGGGTTATACTTTACTTAACCTTCTCCTTCTACAGATATCTGGCTTTGTCTTTCAGCATTTAGCCCTGTCTCGCTACTAGACAAAGCTATTGCCTTAGCTTTTGTTACAACAAACTATGTGCTGTCTTTCATCCTATACCCTTTCAAACTGTTGCAACATGCTCATCCAGGAGCAGTGAATGCTGAAAGTCAGTGACTCAATGCAGTCTGCTGGATGGAAAGCCTTTTAAAAAATTGGAATAATAACTACATCGTGTGGTAATTAGGATCAACTGCAATTTGCTTATGACTGAAGTGAATTTTTATAGACAAATTAGACAGAAGTATAAGAAGCAAATACTGACTCACCAGCATGACAAACATGAGAATAATAAAGGAAATGTTGCTGAGTGAATTCCAATGTACTGCTGCAATTATAATATGCGAGTTGCTGATTTATTTTTCTTTATTGCAATGGCAATTTTTAATTTTTATTGATTTTTTTTTTTTTTTTTTTTTTACAAATTCTGAAGCTAAATACAACACATCCCTTCTATTGAGGTAGTTCTAGTTGACATGAAGTTAAGGCCTTGGTGAGAGATGAACATGTAAGTTCTTACATAAAGTTGTGAGAAATAAAACTTATACTCGATCAGAACTGTAAATGAAGAAGCCTGTTTTCCTGGTGTTTTACGGTTGCTTTTACTGTGTCTATTAGCCTTTAAGAAAAGTTTTCTTTGCATGTTCACAAAACAACTATTTTATTTCTCTTTATTAATAAATAAAAATCTAGATAAATATAAACCGATCAAAGGCCGTACTGGCCATTTGCTTTTTGATATCGTTAATCTTTCAACCCATTTAAACATATAAATAAATTGGATGAGCTTTGAAGCTTTTCTCAGCAGGCTTTTGCTTTTCATGTTTAAATTGCTAAGTTACAGCTTTACTATTCACTCAGAAATCCTTCAAAGTTGAAAAAAAAAAAAAATCAGAGGCTTTTGCCAAGATTGTTTTCGGACATTGTAGTGAAAAAAAAACAAAACAAAACATTAATACCTCAGTGGTTACACCTCTTAGAAGAAATACAACACCGAATGGCTCTCCAGCATGTTTGACCGTTTACCCGGCCTCGCTCCAAGTTTTAATTGCAGCGGCTTGGCCACGCCTCCTTCCTCTCTTTTCTACTTATGGAGCTGTACTTCAGCTTTGGCAACACTTATCAGGGCGCGCCTCTCCTCTTTCAGCTCCTCTGATGTAACCTGGGACAGCCTTTGAACACACAGCCTTGGGTAACCTCGCTCTCTAATGAGGAGCGCTCGGCAGCCTGCTTATTAACACCATGCTAGCACGGCAGATGGGAGTTCTAATCAATGCGGTTGATTTTTTCAGTTATGGAGGAGTGAGGTACAACATCTGGCCTATTGATAATCATTCTGCACAGCTGCTTCACACACTCGCAGTGTGTGGATCTGATAAGACGGTTGTGAGGGTAGTCAAGAGGGATAATCCTGTTAAGGTTTTTATGGTGCTACAGATGTGATCGAAACTAATGGGATTGACTTTAAGTAGCTATTTAAGATGTTACGATACCATCTAATACAGAGAAAGCACAACACATACAATTTTTTCGCTTCGTTTCACCGTGATATAATAATTTTTTTTCAAATTCTTTTGATATGGAGCACGTCCTGGATACAGGTAATTCTTTTTAATCCTCAATGTTTCCATAATAAGGATCTTCGTGCCCTTTCTTTTAAATCTATAAAATCCTATTACTCAGCTCCCGGGTGTAATGCAACTATGTACACTGACATGCACAAATACTAATTCCTCTGACATTTAGACTATCCTATCCTCATGCGTCAACACTTTTAGCTTCTCAGCATTTCAAAGAGATCTCGAACCCATCTGGGATGCGAGGCCCTAGCGGGTGACTTCTTCTTGAAGGCTTCAAAGGAGAAATGGTGCGGCAATATTGCCCAAGAGGCTGTTGCCTGAGCAGGCTTTTGATGACAGCTTGGAGAGCTCTCTCTAGAAGGAGGAAGAGAATAGTACGGCCGCATGTGTCAACAGAAAGCAGAAGACCCAAGGGAAAAATAAAAACTAAAATTGAAGAAGCTAAGAAAAAAAAATCTCGCTATCCAGATATTGCTGATTTTCTGTTCAGACAAGTGTTTACAAGTTGGTTAGTGAAAGAGATTTTAAGAAATTTCGACTACTATATGCAATCAGACCATCATTTGCCAATTCAGTTTTGCATGGAAAATGTAATCTTAATTTGTACAATAATGTCTAACTTCCTCAGACAAGGATCTTGAGTACCTCTAGATCTTGAGGATCTTGAGTAAGAATGTCGGAAACTGTTTGTAGACATACTGCAGGATGTCTTAGGATAACCTAAGTAATGATGTCATGGAATTAGATTCTTCCTGTTTCACCTGTGGATGTGTTTTAACACGACACATGAAACACACTGCTTCTTTGAATGACATGACGTGAAAAATAAGAAATCGATAAATACTTCAGGGAGAGAATTGTGAATCTTCACAACTTTGTTTATCTTTAATTACACGTCACAGCTGCCTGAAGGTGCCACATTTATCTGTTCAAACAATTACACACAGGCATAAACACCATGAGAACATCCTGCCATTATGGTGTTCAGCAAATGTGAAAATGTGCGTCAATGCCAGAACAAAAGAAAATGACCTTGTGAAGATTTTTCTGAAGCTGGTAGGAGAATGTTATTCCACTCGATGAAACATTTCCTGTTACAATGGGTTGAAAGGCCACTTAGTGAGAAAGAAGTCCAAAGGCGATACAAAAAGAAAGCTTAATGTTTTCGAACTAACAAAGAAGCAAAAATGGTCTAGAGAAACTCAGAAATGTTTGGCCATAATGATCCTCATTTTCTTTGAAGGAAAAAGAGGAAAAATGTAAAACATGAAAACACAATCCCAACTGTGAAACATAGCATCATGCTGTGGAACTGTTTTGGTTCTGGAGGAACTGGTACACTTTATAATATCAATGGTGTGATAATTAAACGATATATGGAAATACTGAAGCAAAACCTAAAGAATTCAGCCAGGAAGTTAAAGCTCAGAAGCATGAGTACATTTTATCCCCCACCACAAATATTCCTTAGACAGACCCGCAAAACAGCTAACCTGTCAAATAAAACTGGAAACAGCACTTAGCCCATTAAATTTTGTATTTTGTACTCCTTAAAAGATTAATTCATATTTTGCATTCTGAAGTTTTCCTGTTTAAACTGAAGATTTTTATTGCTTATGTGTGAAAGAAATTCCAATAATAATTGCAACCTCAAACTTTTATAGTAAAACTACTGTCCATTTTTGCATGTACACATGCATCCTGCCCTCATCCAACTGCAAAATGTAGAAGAAATACAGAGATAATACTTGTAGCGACATACATCTGCTAACACATTAGTCCAACTCTATTAAGTGTTCGCTTCAAAAACCTAAAAGGTGAAGCTCAGCTTCAGTAGAGCACTCCTCTCGCTCTGCCTGCTTGTGGAAAAAAACCAAAGAAATTTCCTGTTCCCCAAGGCCTCCACTTCCCCATGTCTCTGTTTGATGCAAATTGACAGATGGAAGAAATGAATGAAAAGAAAATAACCACACAAACATGGGAGTGAGAGAACTCGAAGCAACCAGAAGACAATGAATAGAAGTGATAGAGGTGGAGAATGAAGACAGCACACATCAAAGGACCCTCCATCATCTCTTGGGGCACTTGTCGGGCGAGACGAAAACAAAAGTTCTATTGCCTCTCTCTGTCTCACTCTTTCTCTCTGCGGTTTATTTGCACTCCTCTTTGTTGCCTGTCTCTCCATTAGAACTTGACTGTGGGAGTTGTTGCCTCAAGTTCTTTGGAGTTGAAAGGCTCTTGGAGATCTGTCGCCCAAACCATCGTCTTAACTTCAAATAGGAGATGGAAAATGAGATAATAGGATGAAGATAAGGTGGTGCGAGATAGGAAACTGGCCCGTGGATGAAGGTGGTGGAATCACAGGTGGAGCAAAAGAGAAGGATGAAAAAATAAAACCAAGCAAAGCTTACAGGGAAAAGCAA